AAATGTCATTTAAAATGTTGTAATTGTACCCGCCTCTACCATCTCCTCTGCAACTCATTCCATACATGTACCACCTGTGAAAAAGATGCCCCTCAGGTCCCTCTTAAATCTTTTCCCTCTCACCTTGAACCTACACCCTCTAGTTCTGGACTCCCCCACCCTGGGGAAGAAGACCTTGGCTATTCACCCTATCCATGCCACTCATGATTTTACAAACGTCTATAAGGTCACCCCTCAGCCTCCAACGCTCTAGGGGAAAAAGTCCCAGCCCATTCAGCCTTTCCCGATAGGTCAAACCCTCCAGTCCTGGCAACATCCTTGTAAATTTCTTGTTGTGCACTCATTGAAAACCTCGGAGAACAAAAAAAAAAGACGATGATTGTAAAATGTTTCTGGCAAGTCTGACTCCAGCTTGCTGCCATCAGGTGAACTGGGATGGGCTTAGCCACCTCTGGTGCATGCAAATTTCAGCATCTGGGCACAAGTCTATGTGATTCCCTCGTGTACAAGACTTCCCACTCCTTCCAATTCAGTCCATATGGCACTGTCACACACGTGGACTACAACAGAGGCATAAAATGCTTAGCACGTGCATAAAGAAAAAAAATTCTCCTAAGTCACATGTCTGCCGGTTCAAGTCCCACTTCAAGGGACTGAACATAAAATCTCAGTAGCCATAGATGGAGGGCTGCTCTGTCGGAGGAGCTGCCTTATAAACAGGATGTTAAGTCAGGGCCCTGTGTGTTACCTTGAGTTGGCTTAGAACACTGCCGCGGAGTGTTTTGAGAGTAAGGGAGTTTTGGGGAGTCTTCGACAACACCAGCCTTAAATCTTCATTGCTGAAGGAATATGTGGTCATCACCATATTGCTGTATTAGGTAGCATTCTGCCAGGTGAAAATTAGATACTGTGTGACCTGATGTCTCATCAATGTCTACACTTTTGAAAACATTTCATTGTTTTTATTGTACTTTAGGGTGACCGGAGATCATGAAAGATGCTATTCAAAACCATCTACGTTGAAGTTAAATCAGCTAACTTAGTACAGGGGCCTTTCCTCCCTGAAAGCAACGATCTACACCGGAATAAAGTTGCACAGGAATCAGCTCCCTTTTGTATCTTGTCTGCGTCTTCACACTCAATGATTACTAAACTGATCAGCTATGGAGGTCAATACTGTGCTCACCTAGGAACCCACTTTTTTTGGGTTACTCACCTCCCAGGAAAAACCAAAGTATACTGAACCAGAACAATGGGTAACTTAGCCAAGGAAGTATTGAAACTAACTGGAACAACTACTGTCACTTCTCCAGATCAGACCAATTGCTTTACCAGCAATCAGGAATCAAATCCAGGATAACAAGGTGTAGAGCTGGATGAACACAGCAGGCCAAGCAGCATCATAGGAGCAGGAAGGCTGACGTTTTGACTTATTAATAAACGTAATATAACAAATGTGAAAAGTGAGACATGTTACTCAAGGAAGCAAACAAGAGAAGAGCAGTGACTGCTAATACAGTACTGTTCTACTTACATATATGGACCAGGAAGTCCACCAAGCGCATTGAAACATAAACAGGTGTCTTCTACTATAACCGGACCTTGGATCTAAAGAAATAAAGTTGCTCAATGTCACTATGAACAAGTGCTATATTCCAAATTTACTGCTGTCAAGTTTATTGTTACAATTCACAGCAGATCATTTATTGTCGGCTGTTCAGTTTAGAGACCAGTAGCAGTTTGCCCCACACCTAACATGTTAAGTATCAATAAATAATGTATTTTGCACTGTTCCCAAAGGCCAAGTGAGCAAACCCAACGTTCAGGTCTTGTTTTCTTGCTTTTCATTCCCAGCAGCATTATTATACACAACTGATCAATTTCCCACCACCAAAATCACCACGACTTTTTCTTGTTCCTTCCTTTTCTTATAAGTACCACCAGTAATCGCTTCCCTAGCCAATCAAATACTTATGAGCCAAGTCCATTACAGGCATTAATGCTCAGGTCAACATGATCAGAAGTCTGTTTGTTAAATGGTTTCAGCCAAGCTCTCAACTTGGTAGAAGCTAATCCTGTTGGAAAACATTGCATGTTGACATGATGTGGATGAGATGGGATTTGGCTGTGATGCAGCCCATGGTTGAACAGCCCACCGATTTTCACCTTCTAGAATGAGGCACAAAAGAGGTGCTCTCGCCCCCAAAATAGCGTCTCAGAATCAGTAATTTATATCGATAAAGGCGGCAAAAACATTTAGGGACAACATTTAATTAATAGTCAGAGGTGTGTAATGTATTTAAAGCAAATGCAATTTCACAAGAATTCCCAAATTACATATAAATGGATCACTAGTCATTTGCAAAGCGATATTAGGAATTACAACAGGTTCACAAACGTGATATGGATGGCAACATGATCTGGTTGGGATCAAAGTGAACTCTGTTGCACCCATATTATAGCCTCTGGCTTCTTTCTTCTCATCATGGAGTTAAAAAGAACTATGTTCTCTCAGAAGAACACCCAGTTTGTTCCAATAAGCAAATTCCCAGGCTAGGCATCCAAAGGAAGACATTCAATTTAAATAAAAACACCTTGAAGGTTTTGTTCAAATAGCCAATACAAATTTGAATTTCCAGTAAATGTTCACATGGCTACAGAGTCACTGGTTACTTTTGTTAAGTGGATCTCAGAGAACACATTCCCCAACCGACTTCCAATTAACAGACAGCACAACACAGATCTTGAAAGCTATTGTATGTCCTAAATACTATGAACTTGCACATGCCATTCACTACATATAATCATTTGCAAGGTAGGTGTACAATCTAAAAATATGAATTGGCTGGAAAACACTTTGGGATATCCTGAGGTTGTGCAAGCTGCTACATAAATGAGGTTTTTTGTATCTAAAACATCAATTTAGCAATATTCAAAGAACACAAACTGATACAGCAAGACTATAGTACAGTTTATTTGGACAATTACATAACCACTTACTAGCTAACATATCTAGACCAGATAATACAAGTTTGGTAACTGGCACTTACTTGCCTGGCTGCTTCCTGACATTTCTTGATGGAGATTTCATCGGGTTCACCCTGATACTCTGGCACTGGAGAGGAATTAATACTTAACTTGAATCTCATTTTCTAGTTCTTCATTCTCAAGACCAGAGCAAATTAGAATGTCAAGTACTTACAGTCGATCTTTTTGGAAACAAGTGTGAAAGGAAACTTGTCACCCAGAATTTGAACAACCTGTTTTGCAAAGACAAAGCTAGATTTAATCCCCATTTCCACTAAAAGCGTTTTTAAAAGTTCTTAATTAATTTTCTTGACAAGGCAATAAGAGATATAGAATACGATATTGAGTTCTATCAGTTATTAACCAATGCATTACAGTAACATGCCAAGATTTCAATAGCACCTCAAAGACCTTTGGCAACTATCACTTAGAACAGCAGCAGTATAGGGTTACCTCCAAGCTCCCCCTCTATCTCTCATATCATCTTGGTTACATTGTAGGTCACTGTTCCTTCATTGTCACTGAGTCAAATTTCTCAAATTCCCAAATATTGTTTTGCAGTTTCATGATAGAAATTTGCATCATGGTGTGCCTGCGTCTTTACTGTTCTTAGCCATTAAATTGGTGGAGGTCATGAGGCTAGGTATATAGGGGAAAAGCAAGGCATCAAGATCAACCCAACACGATTTTAGTCTGGCCCCCTTTCCCTGACCTCATTACACCAGCAGTACATCAATTTATAATAAAATATGAGCAAGAACTGCATAAACGATCTGGAATTTGCAGGAGCTGGGCATCACAGTGCGTGCCTGGCTCATCAAACCTCTTCCCATACCCTGCTGCAGCTGAAAGCACAGTTGCCTACAAAAGTTCTGAGTGCAACATAGTAAAGGAAAAGGTGCTTCAGAATTTAAAAGAGAAATTGCTGCAAAATTTAGCAGACCTAGCAGCATCTGTGGAGAAAAATCAGAGTTAACATTTTGGGTCCAGTGACCCGTCTTCAGAATTACAATTAGATGTTGCCAGACCTGCTGAGTTTTCCTAGTAATTTCTGATTTTTGCTTCTGATTTCCAGCACCCACAATTCTTTCGACTTTTTGTGTTTCAGAACATGCTGAACGTCACGGCTATCAGTTTGTTTCTAATACGGTTTCTCAGAGAAAGAGTGCACTAGAAGTGGATCAAACGGAGTCAAATCAGATATGGAAAGAAAAAAAGCGGATGATAAACAGTGGACTCAGTTAAAATTATTAAATGAAAGAACGTCAAAAATACATCTTAATGACAGTTGGAATGTTAAATAAACCTCACTCTGGGAACTCAGACATGAGTTGCCAAGAGGAAAGGATGATGTGGAGGTGCCGGTGTTGGATAGGGTTGGACAAAATCCTTCATGCCATGAAGGAGCAGCGCCTCGAAAGCTTGTGATTTCAAATAAACCTGTTGGACTATAAGCCGATGTCTTGTGACTTCTGGACAGGAAACATCCTGCTCAGAATGCAGCCTATTTCGAAAGGCACTGAGAAGATTAAACACTTTAATTCAGTAGATTGCAGCCCGTAAAAAAGTTCATATTTCCGGAACTTTGACAGCCCTGGAGGTGAATATGGTACAGCGACAAAATAAAAGCCCATCAAGAGAAGGAAGGGAAGGGAAGGGAGGAGAAGCAAAAGAGGCAATATCGCTTCCTTATCCCATATGCTGGCCTACCTCCTCCAGCTTCCTCGCATTGCCGGTAACGAACACCACATTACGAGCTGGGTTTGCAGCCATGGTCACTTCAAGCACACAGAGACAGAGAGAGAGAGAAAGAGAAAGGTGCTAACGTTTCCGGGGAAGTGGACGGGAGAGGCTCTGATTGGCTCAAACGTCTGCTCACGTGCACCGAATGGAACGGAGCGACATGAACCAGCCAATGGCTGCAGCGCTCCGTCAAATTAGCTCGTTCACCCGGAAACTGAAGGGATGAATAGACAAGGCACATGGTGCATTAAGAGGAGAGCAACTCTTCTCCAGCAGTGTCTGGGTTTTATTTGTTTTTTTTTTTGCTACTCTCCTCATTTCTTTTCTTCCTAACTCCCTTTCAAAACAAAAAGGCATTTGCGTTTGTGCACCCGCATTCTGAAATATACCAAGAAAACCGTTCAGTGATAACACCAGGAAAACAACCGAAAAGACTCACAGTAGGCCGACGGATATCTGTGGAGAAGGAGCTAATGTATCCAGTTCGTGCTGTCTCCGTTGTAAGGAAATGAGTGTCACACTGTGCTAGTTGCAATTTTCCGTCTTTGGGACTTAACTTACTCGCAGAACCGTTGGACGCTTTGTGTGAGGCAGCTGACTGATGAATAAGGTGTGTTAAATAATATTGCCTATCATGGCTAGTGAGATTTATGTTCACAAAGAATGCCGTGACCTTACACTTTAAAGCGTGCCGATGTTTGCTTATTTTAAGAAGGAAATATTTGAATAGAGGACTCGTTTTACATCAAATCGGTTAGTCTATGTGACTGAAACTTGAGGTCTGAATGTGATGACAGCATTATTGCTTGTGAAATTAGAGCCTTGAAAAATTAGAATTGGTGATGTAAATGCAATGAAGCAGTTATATGGAGAAAGTGTAGGACATTGGTTAATGCTAACACTTCCCAGTCGGCATAGCACCATTTAACTGGTTTTATGTTTCCAATGTGATGGCCTGAATTTAAAAGGAAATTTTAAGTATTAGGTTATAATTAATTCTGTTTTGAACTTTGCCTTACCCCTGTACAAGTACACTTGTTGAACTAGTGAAGACACTTGGACAACAAGCCCACTCCATCATAGTTGATTTTGTAGGTGTTTGGTCTGAATGCTTGTAGACCTGGCTTCAAGAGGAATGCTAATGTCTATTTGATTGTTCTCTCATTGAATCTGGAGTGTGTCACTGATGTACAAATCTCAATGTAGTGCAGGAATGTGGTATCTTGTACAGCTGCCTGGTGTACTATGACTTTTGACTTGAGGTCTTTGCTGTCAAACATGCTGCTGTAGTTTGTAGAGGACTGAGCTAGTGGCCCTGATCCAGTCTTGGATCATCTCATCACTGGTGTCCAAGAAACCTCATCTCTCTCTCCTGCAGCTACATCTTGATGATATGGCTGCAACTGTGTTGAATGGGAGGTCTGAAGCAGGTGCTTTCAAAATTAGACCAGTGTCAGCAAGGCAGTTTGGATAGTCCCAGACTGTTCAAAATCTACCTGAAAGTGGCTATTCACCTCAGTAAGATCAATTGCCGTCTGGTGTGAGTGTTAAATACTACCGGAAATCTCTTCACGCTCCTTGAAAATGTGACTGAACTAAACTGATAACCATAGATGTACTTGATTGTCCTGTTCAGATGACTACAGTCTTGTCCATTCTGCAACAGATTTGAAAGCCACTCTCAATCTCTTCAATTTGTGCACATGAAACTCAGCATGTGCCCAGATGTTGCCAAAACAAAGCTTAAATGTCAACTCGGATCTGGTCCGTCAAATAGCCTATGTGTGTCAAATATATTAAAGAATGATAGTCTTGGAGATGTACAGCACAGAAACGGATCCTTTGGTCTAACTTGTCAATGCCGACCAGATATTCTAAATTTAATCTGGTTCCATTTTGCCAGCATTTGGCCCATATTGCTCTTAAACCCTTTCTATTCATATACCCATCCAGTTGCTTTTTAAATGTTGTAATTGTACCAGCCTTCACCACTTTGTCTGGCAGTTCATTCCATACAAGCATCACTTTCTGCATGAAAAAGTTGCCCATTTGGTCCTTTTTAAATCTTTCTCTACTCGCCTTAAACTTATGCCCTGTCTTGTCCCCTATCCTGGGAAAAAGACCTTGGCTATTCACCCTATCCAAGCCCCACATGATTTTATAAACCTCTATAAGGTCACCCCTCAGCCTCTTGTGCTTCAGGGTAAAAAGCCCAGCCTATTCAGCTTCTGTCTATAGTTCAGACCCTGAAAACCTGGCAACATCCTTGTAAATCATTTCTGGACCCTTTCAAATTTTCACATTTTTCCTATAGCAGGGAAACCAAAATCTGTGTTTAAAAAGTGGCCTAACCAATGTCTTGTACAGCGCAAGATGACTTCCCGACTCCTATACTCAATGCACTGACCAATAAATGCAAGCATACCAAATGCCGTCTTCACTATCCTCTCTACCTGTAACTCATTTTCAAGGAGCTATGAACCTGTTCTCCAACATCTCTTTGTTCTGCATCACTCCCCAGGACCTTACCATTAAGTGTATAAGTCCTACCCTGATTTGCCTTTCCAAAATGCAGCACCTCATATTTATCTAAATTAAACTCCATCTGCCACTGGTCAGCCCATTGGCTTATCTTATCAAGATCCCCTTGTATTCTGAGGTAACATCCTTCGCTGTCCACTACACCTCCAATTTTGGTTTCATCTGCAAACTTACTAGCCATACCTCCTATGTTCACATCCGAATCATTTATATAAAGGACAAAAAGCAGTGGACCCACCACCAATCCTTGCGGCACACTGTTGGTCACAGGTCTCCAGTCCGAAAAGCAAACCTCCACCACCACCCTCTATTTCCTACCTTCGAGTCAATTTTGTGTCCAAATTATTAGTTCTCCTTGTATTCCATGTGATCTAACCTTGTTAATCAGTCCACCATGCGAAACCTTATTGAACACCTTACTGAAGTCCTTGTAGATAATATCCAGCACTCTTCGTCACGTCTTCAAAAAAACTCAATCAAGTTAGTGAGACACGATTTCCCACTCTCAAAGCCATGGTGACTATCCCTAATCAGTCCTTGCCTTCCCAAATACATGTAAATCCTGTCCTTCAGAATCCCCTCCAACAACTTGCCCGCCACTGGTGTCAGGCTCACGATACTGTAGTTCGCTGGCTTTTCCTTAACACCATTCTTAAATAATGGCACCACATTAGCTAACTTCCAGCACCATGGCTATCGATGTCACAAATATTAAGCACTTCCCATACCTTGGGCAATCAACTCTCAATAATTTGCAAGTTATAAGAGGAGACCGGTTCTCTTGCCTTTTGAAATACTACATAGAATCATTTCATATATTGCCCCTTCTGTGTGAGTTTTTAAGGTGAGGATGGGTGGAATATGTCATTCAGAGTTGAAAAGTCTCAGTGGTGTGTTTGTTTGGAAGCTGAGATCCAGTAAATTAAGCACCAAAATCTTGTTGCATTAGATGATCTTGGCGCAATGTGGAAGTTAATTTAAAAACCAACTCAGAGTAACCAAAATTTCACTTCTCCAGACCCCCTAAGAACAAATGTTATGTTTATCTCCAATAGCTGTGCTGTGTTTTTAATTGGCTGTGTAGTTACTGAAAACATCAGTGCACCTTCATTTAGAAGCATCATTTTGACACCTTTGAAAATTTAGTTTGTTTTGCCTTATGTTGTTTTGCTGAGATGTGAATGACTGGACCTTTTTTAGGTTCTGAATACAGTAACTTATAAAATCTTAACAAGCCATTTTCCATCTTTACCAAGATTTGAAAATGAATTTACTGCCGAAGAGATCAAAAGAGTTCAGTTCTGCTGAATATTGGGAGACATTCTTTAAGAAACGGGGTGCCAGTACCTTTGAGTGGTATGGGACCTATGTGGATCATTGTGCAGTGCTGCACAAGTATATCAAGCCTAAAGATAAGGTAATTTAAGCTTTTAAAATTGTGCTCGGACAAAGTTCTTCATTTCTTAAAGCAAAATGATCTTTATAACTGTTTTTTAGGTGAAAGTTAACTGCCGTAATGAAATAAATTTTCAGTCTTGTTTTAACCACTAATTTATATGTGTTGTTAAAATAATTCCTAACTGCTGAAAGAACTACAAGTCTTTACATTGTCCTGTTAGAAATAAGCTGGTCAATTTATTTTTAACTCTTTCAACGTGGCAGCTCTGCACAATAGTGGAGCACTGTTTGTCTGTGTTTTCTAATCTGTTTCAACTTACTCCATTAAAACATCTGCGTTTATACTTAAATGCTGTCATTGTGAATGGTTATTTTTCCATAGGCATCTTCTGTCAGTTCAGCCATAAAAGGATCAACTAACCTGAGATATAGTAAAGTTATAGGTTATAAGTCCCATTTCAGATCATGAGCACACATCTAGTAGCTAATCAGTTGGAGCTATCATCTTTTGAGTGAGACAAAGACCCTGTCTTGGATGAACACAAACGACACCATGGTGTTGTCTTGACGTCCTAGTTAATATTTATCCCTTAACCAATATCATTAAGACAGATGATCTGATCAGCTGTCTCATTGCAGTTTGTGGGATAATGCTGTGTGCAAATTGGCACGTGCATTCTGCATTACAAAACAGACTGCACTTCAGGAGGTACTTCCCTGGCTGCAAAATGCTTTGGGATGTCTTTGGGTCATTAGAGGTGCTCTGGCAAGTTCTTGCTTTCGTTCGTCAGCTATTTCCATACATGTGACCTAGCATCCTTCTTTAAAGGTGAAACGTATGGGCAATGCAGTGAATTCTTTGGAGATAGTAGGAACTGCCGATGCTTGAGTCTGAGATAACATAGTGTGGAGCTGGATAAACACAGGCCAGGCAGCATCAGAGGAGCAGGAAAGCTGATGTTTCGGGTCTGGACCCTTCTTCAGAAGGGTCTTCATTTCTGAAGAAGGGTCCCGACTTGAAACGTCAGCTTTCCTGCTCCTCTGATGCTGCCTGGCCTGCAGTGAATTCTTTGTTTTGTAAAGTTGCTCACATTTTGGCGATGCAAAGATTGGTTCTGTAAGAAGGTCTGAAACCTTATCCCCTGTTGCAGCAAGGTTTGCCTCAGAACAAAATGGTTCGGAAGAAGAGTCATGCAGGACTCAACGTTAACTCTATTTCTCGCTCCATACCTGCTGAGTTCCTCCGTTATTTCAGACTTTCAGCCTTTGCAGTATTCTGATTTTATTTGAACAGGCTGGTGGTTTTAAATTGGTGGGGTGGCTTTGAGGTTTTAGTGTCATACAGCACAGAAACAGACCCTTCAGTCCAACTAGGCCATGCCATCAGATTTCCTAAACTGAACTGTGTGTGTCTGGTGGGGGGTAAGGGAGGTGGATCTGGATAGTAAGTGAGTGAGAGTGGAAGACTTTGTTCCTGTGATGTAGAAGGTGCTTAGCTGATAGATCAAGGGCCTGGTTTCAAGTAGATATGTTGTTTGGGACTGAAACTTGCTCAAATCTGATAGTGGCCATGTTGTATTCCATTCCCTAGTGCTATCCTTCCTTTTTACACAAATAATCACAAAATTAACAAAACATCTTATTTCAAACAAGTAATCGTATTTCTCCTCCCTCTACCTTTTGATCTTCAGGTGCTAGTTGTTGGCTGTGGTAACTCTGAACTAAGTGAGCAGATGTATGATGTAGGTTACCAGGGGATCACAAACATTGACATAAGTGAAGTGGTCATAGCCCAGATGAAGGAACGCAATGCCACTTGCCGACCAGCGATGGCCTTCGTGAAAATGGACATGTTGCAGATGGAGTTTGGAGACTCTCAGTTTCAGGTTGTACTGGACAAGGGGACCCTGGACGCCCTCATGACAGATGAGAGCGAAGAGACTTTGCGCAACGTCGACAGGATGTTCGCGGAAATTGGGCGAGTCTTGCAGGTTGGCGGGCGCTTTGTGTGCATCTCGCTGGCCCAGGAGCACATCGCAAAGAAAGCCGTCAGCCACTTCTCACAGCGGGGCTGGCCAGTGAGAATACACGCTGTGGAGGAACAGGGCACGGCCAACGGGCAGTTCACACTGCCCGTGTTCATCTTCATCTTCACCAAGTTCAAAGAGATTCCTGGAGCTGGCCACCAGATCCTGGAGATGTGTGCAAACGAGCTGGATAAGCCACTTCGAATGGACAGTGTTGATGGACTGTTGGAAGCAGTGAAGGGAAGGCAGCAGTATGCACTACTCCGAAACCACTTGGCCAAGCACTCGAGCAGCAGAGAGAGCGTGACCCTCACTCTTTGTGACAGCGTGTCTGGGAAACCTCGCTACACCTTTCACGTTGTCGATCTGCCCTCTGTGAAATCTTCTCGCACCAACCACTTTGCAATTTTCATAGGTGAGTGTAATCCTGGTTGCATTGGAGGAGCCACGTGACAGGGTACCTCTGTCGAACTTGATCTGGGTGGAAAATTGCGAGGGTTGCGCTTAAAAGTTGTTTGATGAGAAAACTTTGTGGTGGACTTTGTGGTGGCAGTGACAGCGAAACTGCCAGCATCCACCAACATGACTTTGCTGAAGCTGACGACAGCTTTGAGAGAGCTCGCATTCACAAATAAGGTGGCAGTCCAGAAGTTTTACTACTTGTGTTCTCTGCCTCAAGCCAGGCTTGACCCATCTTGCTGCCATCTCCAGCACAGGTCGGGAAAGAAGGCAGGTCCCCAACCTGCCCCAGCAGGAACTGGGATTGAATCCCTTGCTGGTGGCACCTTTTTTCGATCCACTCTGGCTGTCTAGCCAGCTGAGCCCAAGAAGTTGAGGACCCAGCACTGTTTCTTGTGGCGTGCCACTCGTTATATTTGAGCATCTGAAAGTTTTTTTTTAAGCTTAAATTATCGTGGACTTAGTAATTTTATTCTTTAATATTCACAGAATCATAGAATCCCTACAGGGCGGAAGCAGGCCATTCACCCCATCGAGTCCACACTGATCCTCTGAAGAGTGTCCCACCCAGACACCTCCCCCCCACCCCCCCGACCGCCAACCCCCACCATCCCTGTAATCTTACATTTACCATGGCTAACTCACTTACCCCGCACATCCCTGGACACTATATGGGCAGTTTAGCATGGCCAATCCACCTAACCTGCACATCTTTGGACTGTGGGAGGAAACCGGAGCACCTGGAGGAAACCCACACAGACACGGGGAGAATGTGCAAACTCCATACATATGGTCGCCCGAGGGTGGAATTGAACCCGGGTCCCTGGCACTGAGGCTAATCGCTGAGCCACCATGCCACCCTGTGCTATTATCTTCCTGGTTTGCTGTGTGTAAAACCAGATATTGACCCAATATTGGCATCACTGATGCTGTGTGTCAGGGCATCCCCTTGACTTGGTGCCAGGTTTAAACAGTGGCTGGGGAAAGTGGAAATCCCGCAAGGCAGATGTTAGTAAACCATTTTCTTGCTTTGCTGCTGACTTTAAAATTCAGGCTCAGAATTTGCTGGGAAAGCAACAGTAAATTCGTGGCACTCACTGCTATGCGTGCATTTAAAAGAAAAAAAATCGAGCAACTTCTGGCAAGAGAGAGAAACACTTGTAGTTTGCCTCAAATTACAGGTGGATTTGTGCCACTTTACCTTGCAAGAATTAAATCTTGCTCTTGGCTTCTTGTGAGTGTCGAGAAATTGCTGTGTTTGCACTGTAACTAAGAATCAATCTCATATAGAAGGTTATGGCTTTCAAGAGTTTAAGGGCTCTTTTTTTTCATGACAAGGTTGATATTCCTGCAATGCCACTTAATCCTTCACCCCAGAAAGGGAACAATTAAGAAATAGTGGAAGCCCAAATGTACAAGTGGGAAATTGGTCACAAAAGTGAGTCCCAAATTTCAGCGGTCAATTTTACAAGTTAATGACATAGTCAGAAAGGGTAGACAGTCTGGGGAAACATTGACTGTACTTAGTTGAAGAACATCTTCATGCAGTTGTTCACTAGTGGCCCGATTGGGTCTTCCACTTGGCTGGAGAAGGGTTGCCCTGGAAAGAGCGAGATCAATACAGGCAGGGGACAAGTGGTAGAAAGCACTTTCACAATGACGTGATGCAGTTTGGTAGTCCCACAGGGCAGGGAGACGGAATGGATGTTCGGAACTGACGAGGGCCGGAGGCAGCTGGGCAAAAGTGCGGAATTCAAGCGTTTGTTGGTCGTGGTGTTGCACCGTGACCAAATCTACGAGAGTATGGAAGCCATTCAGTCAGAGCTGTCGGGGAAGGTGATGGATTTAGCTCCTCCTGGACTTCCTCCGAACCAACAGGTAAATGCTTGCTCTTTTCTGCATATTTTTTGTGTGCGCTGCAAAATGCAACCATGACTGATCTTCAAAAAATAGATCCTGTTGATTGCTAAACTTGTCATTGGCCTGTAGCTGCAGGTGAGAAGGAGCAGGTTCAACAAAAATGTATTATTTCAAACATGGTTAGCGACTTGTGTGTTCGTCTTTACTAGTTTGCCTTGGTTTGATTCATAATGTTATGAAAATACTCATTACAGTATATGAAATATCTGCCTTTGGAGGTCAAGTGTTACCCGCTTATTCCTCTTGTACAACTTGGGGACAGTAACAATTTTACAAGTTACAATGCCCCTACAATCTTTCACTTTCTTCCCGCCTCCCTGATAACATTTCCAGGTGTCACTGGCTCCACTGATATGTAGCACTTGTCCTTAGTTAAGCTTGAGCCACTGTATTCCTTGTCTTGAAGCTGTTTCCACAGTCGGCCAGATAGAGTTTCAGGATCTTGAACTGATGATACATGTGTCAGGTATATTTATTTGCAAAGACTTTGGAGTTTGTATGTTTGCATTCAGATTTTAAATTTTTTTCTGTGTATTCAAGCAGAATGTTTGTTTCATCTACTTTCCTCCTTCCCGTTGGGGAGTTCTACCCAATCATAGCCAATATTCCTCTCATGAGGGCGAGAGAGACTGAACTGGGGAGTCCGACACCAGCTATCACCGCTTGGCAGAAACTGTGGCTAATGTTAAATGTGGTTCATTCATCCAATTGTTACTTGTAGTTAAAGAGCACTAGGTTATAAACTTAACTTTGTGATTTGAGAGTTACTTCACCGTAGTAGGGTCAAAGCAATGCTTGATAGTTCTGGACCCCCTGCTATGGGAAAGCAGTTGTGAAACTTGAAAGGATGCAAAAAAGATTTACAAAGATGTTGCTGGGGTTAGAGGGAGAGGCTGAATAGGCTGGGGCATGGATAGGGTGATAGGGGAGTCCGAAACTAGAGGGCATGGGTTTAAGGTGAGAGGGGGAAGATTTAAAAGGGACCTAAGGAGCAACTTTTTCAGGCAGATGGTGGTGGTTGTGTGGAATGAGCTGCCAGAGGAAGTGGTAGAGGCGGGTACAATTACAATATTTAAAAGGCATCTGGATGGATACGTGAATAGGAGAGGTTTAGAGTGATTTGGGCCAAAAGCTGGCAAATGAGACTAGATTAATTTGGGATGTTTGGTTGGACTGAAGGGTCTGTTTCTGTGCTGCACAGCTGTGTGACTCTAATATTGGAATCCATGGCCACAACAATGGTCTGAAATTGACAGCCTTGTCGTGGTTTACTCACCTTTGGCAGGAATGCCGCTGAAGGTCCAAGTGTGCAAAAAATAGTCATGCTGCACAGAAACAGAGTATTAATACCTTAAAAACTGAAAGACTTGCAGATGATGTAAATCAGGAACAAAAACAAAGTTGCTAGAAAAGCCCAGCAGGTCTGCGTGGCAGCATCTGTGAAGGGAAAAACAGGAGTTAACATTTCGGGTCTGGTGACCCTTCCAGTTCTGAAGAAGGGTCACCAGACCCGAAACATTAACTCTGTTTTTCCCTTCGCAGATGCTGCCAGACCTGCTGGGCTTTTCCAGCAACTTTGTTTTTGTTCCTGTTATTAACACTTTTGTTTAACTTTAACTATGATGACCTGGAAATTGAGTGACTTTTTATTTTGACTGCCTATTTCCACCTCCATATCATTACCTGACCTCTTTTCCCCCTAAGTCAGTATATCCGCTGCTGAAAGCCTCATTCATGACTTTGTTACCTCTTGATGACTATTTTAATACGCACCTGGATGGTCTCCCATATTCTACCCACTTTAAACTTGAGGCCATCCAATTCTTAACTCTCACTAAGTCCCATGCCCCAATCACTGTTCGTTGACTTGCATTCATTTTAAAATTTTTGTTCGTGGCTTCACCATCCCCAATGACCCTCCCAGATATCTATGATCCTCTAATTCTGACTGCTTGTCCACCTGTGATTTCACTTGTTCCACCATTGTTTATGGCTGCAATGGCCCAAGCTGTGCAGTTATTGGTTAATAATAATCGCAATTGGTTTAATTTTTGAAAAACTGTGGTCAATATTTACTCTTACAAGAGTACACATGGTAAATGTTGACTTGGACACCAAGGGATATTTCCTCTGCTCTTTGAAATAGTGACATGGAATCGTTAACATATACCCAAGGACACAGAAGAGGCCTTGGTTTAATGCCTCATCTGTAAGATGATGGTGCAATGCTCAGTCTTGAACTGGAATATTAGTCTTGATTTCTGTGCTCCAGTCCTGCAATGGGCTTAAACCCACAATGTTGTAACTCAGAGGTAGGTTTCCTGTCAACTGAACCATGGCTGACCCCTTGCTTCCCTCCTTTAAGACACTCCTTAAAACATGCCTCTGACCAAGCTTTTGATTATAATAACTCTGTAACTGCCCAGTGAAATGCTCCTCTGAAACTCTTTGGATGCTTCATTACATTATGGCTTCGATAGAAATATAAATTGTCATTGTAAAAAGTGCTAGAGACCTGCTGTGTGTAATCATTGTGCTTCTGTTTAGAAGATTTGTTTGAGACATTTTCAGATGTCCTGTCTCAAATTATCCTTTATGGTTTGGAAATAATTATTGCAATTTAACAAACTGATGGATCACACTTTCTTTCACTTTGCCATTTCTATCCGACACAGTGAATGTTCCTTGAATGTGGCAGTGGGTTTGCATTTCTCCGTTGGAGAATGAGCAGCTTGAACAGTTACCATTTCCCTTGAACAGAATTGACTCTGTTTTTGTACAGGTGCCATTTCTTTCGGTTGGGGGAGATATAGGGATTCGTACTGTCCAGCATCGTGGTACAAGTGATATGAGTGGAGAATATATCATCGAAGACATCAAAGGCGAAGATGGCAACTATTTCCGGCATCTCGTATTCCTCAGTAACATCAATGTGGTGCAGTCAGAGGCTAAACTATTGCACAACATCTCAAAGTCAGGTATTGCTTGAAAGTTTATCTGTGCTTTCACTCAAACACATGTTTTATATGAGGAAAAAAAAATGAATTCATGGCACAAATAAATGTTAATGTAAATGATCTTATAGCACTTATGGAGACATTACAAGTGGATCAAAGCTAGGAACTACATGTTCAGGGGTACGTGACTTTCCAAGAGGATAGGCAGGAAGGAAAGGGTGGTGCGATATTGCTAGAATAAGATGGAATTAGCACATTACCAGGAAATGATCTTGGATCGGATGATATCGAATCCATATGGGTGGAGGTAAGAAATAACACGGGGAAGAAGATACCAGTGGGTGGAGTCTGTTAGCCCCTTAATGATAGCTGTTTTGTAGGACAGTGAATAAGCCAGGAGATAATGGAAGGAAATAAACACTAATTTTCACAAGAGAAGAAGTATTAGTGAAGCTAAAGGGGCCAAAAGCCAATAAGTCCCTTGAATCTGATGGATTTCATCCTATGAAATTAAAGGATGTATCAGGAGATGTAGGGAATGCACTCGTAATAATCTTCCAAGAAAGCAAAAAAATCCCAGAAGATTGGAAAACTAATGAAACCCCCTTAATCAAAAAGGGAACTACAACAGTTAACTATAATCCAGTTAGTTTAACGTCTGTTATTGGGAAAATATTAGTCTATTATAAAGGGTGTCATACCAGAGCGTTTAGAAACACACACTATATCAAGCGGAGTCAACCTGACTTCAGAGGGGAAATCATACCTGTCAAGCTTATTACAGTTCTTTGAGGAAGTGGGCGGCACGGTGGCTCAGTGTTTAGCACTGCTGCCTCTCAGTGCCAGGGACCTGGGTTTGATTCCACCCTTGGGCAACTGTCTGTGTAGAGCTGGCACATTCTCCCCGTATCTGCGTGGGTTTCCTCCCGCAGTCCAAAGATGTGCACGCTAGGTGGATTGGCCATGCTAAGTTACCCGTAGTGTTGAGGGATGTGTAGATTAAGTGGGTTATTAGGGGGCTGGGTCTGGGTGGGATGCTCTGAGGGTCGGTGTGGACTTGTTGGGCCGAAGGGCCTGTTTCCACACTGTAGGGATTCTATAAGGTAACAAGCAAGGGAGATAAAAGGGAATAGGGTAGACATGATGTATTTGGATTTTCAAAAGGCATTTAATAAGGGACCACACTTCATTAGCTCAAAGCACATGGTGTTTGGGGTAGTGTATTATCATGGATAAAGATTTGGCTAACTAATAGACCATGAGGTTGTAGACTTGCCGAGCCAGTGTGTTTGGTTGCAGACGTTTCGTCACCCTGCTAGGTAACATTGTCAGCGCGTCTCCAATGAAGTGTTGGTGTTCTGTCCCGGTTGTTATTTATATGCCTCGGTTTGCTGTGGTGGTTGGCATCACTTCCAGTTCTGTTTTTCAGTGGTTGGTATATCAGGTCCAGTTCAATGTGTTTGTTTGTGGAGTTCCAGCTGGAATGCCAGCCCTCCAGGAATTCCCTGGCATGTCTCTGTTGGCTCATGCTATTATGGATGCGTTGTCCCAGTTGAATTCATGCCCTCCTTTGTCCGTGTGTATTGAGATCAATGAGAATTGGTCGTGTCTCTTGGTGGCTAGTTGGTGTTCAAGAGGGAAAACATTTTTTTTAGATCTAGCAGTATCTGTTTCATACGAGTTGGGGTGGCTAAGTGGGAAGCCTCCTGTCTTTGAGCCAGAAGGTCCTGGGGTTGTGGGCCTGCTACAGAAGAATACAATTGCCAGTGTACAGAGCCAGTCCTTGGCGTGGAGAAATTGGGAAGGCGAGTGGCAGGAAAGGCCACCTGCCAAATCCAAAAATTAGTGTTGATATAGATGATCAACCGGCATTGTGGTGATGCCCATGTGACATGGGGAAAAGCAGATAGAGGATCCATTAATGCCTGTGTAATACGTGTATGCAAAAATACCCTCTTCCCCCAAAAATAATACCCTTGCACCTTTATTGGTAAAATTACCTTGATTAGACCACAGATTAATGGCGTCCTGTCTAACAATTTGGCTTCACTATTGTCAGTGGATTCTTTTTGCTATAATGGTTAGTGGGTTGGAGAGTGTTTCACAAATGTTTTCCAATTTTGAACTCCTCCCAGTTTGTGAACTTTTCTTTGACTAAAAAGGGTGAATCTTTCCCCGATGGGTGGTCATGTACTTGGGATGGACGTCGCTATTCTCTGGTGCCAGGCTGTCATTTCCTCTTAGCAGCCCAACATGTCGATGTGTCAATACATCAGGTGCGCGCACACACATGCACACTTTCACTATACGATAGTAAATATTGACCCACAAGCCGAACCTTGTGTATGGTTGCGTTTTCCGAAAATTTTCATTTGTTTCTTTTTACCCCACAATAGTTTCATCGCAGAAAAAGAAAAAGAAAGACAAGAGGAGGGGAAGGCCATGCTCAGATGCTGAGAAGACTTCAAATCCCAAATCTGGCCAGACTGTTGACAAAAGCTACCTGTGCTGTGATCATCATCGAGCTATGATAGCTGGCTTGGTTCTCCTCAGTAAAAGAAGTGGTTTACTTGCAGGTGAGGAGCAAACATAAAAGATGTTGTAGAATATGCAACAACTTTCATTGACATAACACTTGAAATGTAGGAAATGCAGTTCACATAGATAAAACGGAGGGGCCATAGAGGTGCAGAATTTAAGGAAGGGAATTCCAGTGCCTAGAACTATCTGTCGAAGGAATTGCTGCTACTAGTTGAGAGAAATTATAGGGGTGGAGGTGACGAATGGGGCCCAGGCTAGGACAAGAGGCCAGCGATAAAGAAATGCAAAGTTCTTGGATGGTGGTCGGGCTGTAGGCGTTTAGAGATGGGAAGGAATGAGGATATAGGAGACTTCAAACACGAAAATGAGGATTTTAAAATTGAGCCAATGCAGGTTAATGAGCACAGGGGTGAAGGCCAACTGCAACCTTACTTGGTAGCAATAATGTTTTTCGATAAATATGTGAGGTGTTTGCTTTTACGTGTTTATCTTAACATTTGGGGGATTTTGAATTGTTGATTCTTCAAAGGGCAAGAAGAAACTTATTTGAGAGGCCAGTATCTTCATGTGAGAAAGTGACTGACATTTCATCTTCCCCATTTATCAGCCAGATTTTAAGTCTGAAAACTGATTCCTTGAGAATTATTTTTCCCCCAAGGGAGGGAAGTGGGAAGATGAATATTAGTTAAAGAAATGAACATGAAGATTTTCCATTTTGCTGAGGAATTGCATTGATGTTTAAACATTCTATTGATTGTATCACAAGGTTGTTAATTTGCAAAATGGCCTTTTTTCTTGGGAAAATTATTATCTTTTATGAATATGGTGAGGTAATGTTCTGAAATACCTTCACTTAGGGTGTAACTTTAAATTGCAGAGAAGCGAAGAGTCTGTGTGAGTATTTTGCTTTGACATCAAAAGAGGGAAGATAAAACTCGAGTGGCATTGCTGAATATTATTTGGTATTGAATTGTTGCAATGACATTGGTTGTAGATAGGATGGAATCTTCTTTCACCATTATCCAAAACAAACTGCTGCTTTTCCCTTCATGTTCAGTGGCGTAGTAACTGTGACTGGATTAGTAACCCATCACCAAAAATGACTAGATGTCTTATTGCATACACAGTTGAAATAAAGTAATATTAATTGGAAGGAATAGGTTCCCAGAATGTGGGTGATGTTGCTAAGGTCCATGAAACCAATCCCTGGTTGTCCTGAGGTGGTGGAAGTGCTGCTAAACTACCTTGGACATTCATAGCATCAATAACAGTATGTTTGTGATAATGCTATGTAGGGAATTCTCCAATTCTAACGATGTCAGTGGTTGGGATGATGTGTAACTTGAAGTGATGTTGTTCCTGCAATATTAACCTTCTCAGTGACAGCATTCACAGAAGCGAGGCACTACTGAAGTCACCATGGTGGGTTATTGTCATATATTCTGTATGTTGTGTGTCGTGCAGCTACAACACCCCAGTGGTAATGGGGATGCATACCAATTTTAGCGGCGTGGGAGATCAATCAAGAAAATTGCAATGACTTGAACGGTGTTAACGTTCTTGAGACTTGTTATAGGTGTATTCAGCTGCTCACCTTCAACCTTATTTCTGTATAATATTCACCTTGCCTATACTGCATGCATCTCATTCCATAATAAGTTGGGGTTTACTTCCACACATCTTGGCCAGTCCATTCTACGTTGGAAGTTTTCTGCATTTTCATATCACCCATTTGTCATATTCCATTTCACTGACATTTTGTGCATTTTGTCTTATGTTGTAGCAAAGCTTTCAATATCCCAAAATTTCCTTAGTAGGTCCTCAACCTCTCTCTTTCTCACTCCTCTGTTTCGGGGGTGGGAAGACCCCAAATAGTATTGTTTCCAGTATTTTGACTATTCCCATCCTAATTCTGACTCATTATTTTCCTTATTTCATTTCTGAGAGAAGCCATTTCGATCATCTGAATTCAAGCAGCTACAGTGGTACCCAGCGTGCATGCGTCGAAGAATAAAATGCACATCAAAAGTGCAATTTCCATTTTTGGTGACATTTCACAGATCTTCTCACAAGTTTGTTGGCAGATTGAATGAGTAGTAGCAACTTGATCATAACACCATAAGTTATAGAAGCAAAATTAGGCCATATGGCCCATCAAATCTACTCTGTCATTTGATCATGGCTGATACATTTTACAACCCCATTTTCCCTGTCCCCCTTAATCACCTTACTAACTCTGGGGGAGGCAATGGCCTAGTGGTATTATCGCTGGACTGTTAATACAGAGACCCAGTTAATGTTCTGGGGATCCGGGTTTGAATCCCACCACGGCAGATGGTGAAATTTGAATTCAATAAAATTATCTGGAATGGAGAGTCTACTGATGACCATAAATCCATGGTCGCTTGTTGGGAAAAGCCCATCTGGTTCACTAATGTCCTTTTAGGGAAGGAAACTGCCATCCTTACCTGGTCTAGTGTGACTTCAGACCCACAGCAATGTGGTTGACTCTGAACTGCCCTCTGGGCAATTTGGGGTGGGCAATAAATGCTGCCTAGTCAGCAACGTCCTCATCCCATTAACGAATAAAGAAAAAAAAACAAGAACCTATCTATCTTAAATACACAGCCATCTGCAGCAATCAGTTCCACAGACTCACCACCCTCTGGCTGAAGAAATTCCTCCTCATCTCAGTTCCAAAGAGTTGTCCACTCGCTCTGAGGCTGTCCCCTCGGGTCCTAGTCTGTATTACTGGTGAATGCCCTCGACATCCAGCATCTAACCAGGTATCCCATTATTCTATAAATTTTAATGAGATCCCCCATTAGCCTTCTAAATTCCATAGAGTACGGACCCAGAGTCCTCAGCTGTTCCTGTATGACAAGTCCTTCATTCCCAGGATTAGTCTTCTGAACCTTCTCTGGACCCACTCCAAGGCCAACACGTTCTTCCTTGGATACAGGGCCCAAAACTGCTCTCAATATTCCAAATGCAGTCTGATTAGAGCCTCAGCAGTACATCTCTGTTCTTATATTCTAGCCCTCTTGTAAAGCACGTTCACATTGCATTTCCCTTCCTAACTGCTAATTGAACCTGCATGGTAACCTTGAGAATATTGAACAATGACTCCTAAGTCCCTTTGTGCTTTTGAAGTCATTCCCCATTTAGGAAATAGTCTACACCTCTGGACTTCTTACCAAAGTACATAACCTTGCACTTTCCCACATTGTATTCAATCTGCCATTTCTTTGCTCACTCCCCTAGCCCGTCAAAGTCTTTCTGCAGCATCCGGCTTCCTCAACGCTAACCTGTCCCTCCACCTATCTTTGTCATCTGCAAACTGAGTAACAATGTCCTCGGTTCCTTCATCCAGATCATTAATGTATAATGTGAATCTATCTATCTTCAGATCCTTCCGCTTCGCCAGCGCCTTCTCCTTAGTGATAGCTGCTGCATTCGCCTCTGACTCCTGACTGTCTTGAAGTTCTGGTGTGTTGTTGGTGTGTTCCAGCATGAAAATTGATGCAAGCTAACTATTAAGTTTCTTCGCCATTTTGTTGTTCTCCTACTACTTACTACTTCTCTAGCTTCACCTTCCAGTTTTCCAATGTCCCCTCTTGTCTCCCTTGTACCTTTTGTATATACGAAAATGCTTGAAATCTTCTTTTATACTGCTAGCTAACTTAGCCTCAAATTTCATCATCTCCCTCCTTATTGCTTTTTTACTTATCCTCTGCCGGCTTTCAAAGGCTTCTCGATTCTCTGGCTTCCCACTAACCTTCACCACATTGTATGCTTTTGCTTTTATGCTTCCCTGGCTTCCCTTGTCAACCATGGTTACCTTGTCCTCCCCTTAGTATGTTTCTTGTTTCTTGGGACAAATTTGGGCTGTGTCTTTGGAATTACCCCCAGAAACCCCTGCCATTGCTGCTCCATCACCTTCCCTGCTAGGCTCCCCTTCCAATCAACTCTGTCCAGCTCCTCCCTCATGGTTTTTGTAGTTACTTTTACACAATTCTAACACCGTTACATCTGATTCCAGCTTCTCCCTCTCAAACTGCAGGGTTGAGCATCTGTTGCATGCCGTTGCTCATGTATAATTCAATTATTATAATATCCTGAGATATAAGCCTAAATGTTTTATCCCTGAACATGACTGCTGATACAGTAAATATTATAATGGAAATTTATTTAGCTGCAATTTTCTTTGCAGGTCTTTAGGAAGAAGCGATTCAAGCAGCATTCTGAGATTGTCACTCTTTTTGAATAGTGACATCTTGATTGCACACAGAATTGTTTGCTCGGGTGACCAGCTTTCGTTTTTTTTTGTTTGCCCTTTAGACACTCCCTTTTCTCTGCTCGTGGTTGGCCTTGGTGGTGGCAGCCTTCCGTCATTTATCCATGACTATTTCTCCCAATCGACCGTTGACACCATTGAAATTGACCCCATGGTGTTGGAGGTGGCAACCACATGGTTTGAGTTTTCTCAAGATGATCGAATGAAGGTGATTCTGGCAGATGGCTTGAGCTATATTCATTCGGTTGCAGATGGCGGTAAGGAATCCTACCAGCAGATCAACATTTGTACTGCAGTGCACTGTGCTTCCCGAATTAATCTTCCTCCTCCTTTCTTCCATGCTAATGAGTCTACAATCGCCCAAATTTGTTCAGTAGCCATTCTTAAAAAAACATATACACCCCCCACGCACGCGCGCGCAATTTTCATGACTAGCAAGAATTTAAATTATGCTAGAGATTGACATGGCATCCTTTAATATCACATGAGGTTTTTTCTCGGAACAGAGAAACAAGAGTAGGCCATTCAACCAATCGAGTCTGCCCTGCCTTTCCAGATAATGGCTGATCTTCTCCTCAAAGTGCAGGAAAATGGCAATCTCTGTATCCCTTCATGGCAGTTGTCTCCAGTATCATATCGATTTCCTCTCTTGAACCTGCTCAATTATTGAATCTCCATAGCCTTCTCGGGTAGAGAATTCCAAAGATTCACCACTCTCTGAATGAAGAAATTTCTCCTCTTTTTTTTGCAATTTTATTATCCTTGAGATCATAGAGTTGAATTAATTGCTGAAGACATTTTCTGAATTCCGTGCACGGTTCCTAATCTTCAACAATGCCTGACAAACAACCACCCCCACCCCATCCACCCAGCTCCAGATTGGACATTTGCGTTAGCATTCACCATTTGTATCTAAACCCATCTGCATTTATTGTCAACCTTACAAACTGACCCGGGAAAGTGTCCCAGGAACAGAATAATTTTTTTACTTTCTCACTTTCTGGAATCCATTTTATTTTGTTCAGCTTTACACCACTTGCAATGTGATTCATTCAGTTTGTCTTTTGTTTTTTCAAGTCCATGTCATTTTACTTTTTTGAAGATTAGTGAACAGATAATGCAGTCTCCAGGTTTAAATGGACTTCATCCTCTGGTCTCAAAAGAGGTTGCTAAGGAAGTAGTGAATGCGTTGGTGTTAATTTTCTAAATTTCCCTAGATTTGGGAAAGACTGTAAGATGTACGAGCAACAGTCGGCCATTCAGCCAATCGAGTCTGCTCCACCATTCACTGTGATTCTGGCTGATTTGTTAATCCTCAACTCCACTTTCCTGCCCTTTCCCCATCAACCCTTCACTCCACTACAGATTAGAAATCTCTCCATCTCAGCCTCTAATATGCTTTATGTGGAGGTGCCGGTGTTGGACTGGGGTGAACAAGGTCAGACATCACACGACACCAGGTTATAGTCCAGCAGGTTTATTTTAAATTACAAGCTTTTGAAGCGCTGCCCCTTTGTCAAGTGGTCTTAACAACCCAGCTTCAACAGCCCTTTGTGGTAAAGAATTGTACTGTCATTACCATCTGAGAGAAAGAGATTCTCCTTGTCTCTTTAACCCTTTACAATGAGATTATGTCCTTGGATCCTACACTGTCCCAGAAGGGTGAAACAATGTCTCTGCGCTGACCCTGTCCAATCACTTAGGAATCTTAAAAAGGTTCCAGCCGACTGGAAAATAGCTAAAATAACCCCTCTATTCGGGAATAGAAGGAGGCAGCAAACAAGGAACTGCCAGTTAGATGGACATCTATCATAGCGAAGGTGCTGGAATTCATCATTAATGAGATTATAGCTGTGCACTTAGAGAAATGTAATTGGGAAGAGTGAGCATGGTTTTGTCAAAGGGAAATCATGTCCAACTGATTTATTGGATTTCTTTGAAGGAGTAACCTGCACTGTGGATAAACCGGAGCCGTGGACATACCGTACTGGGACCTCCATAGGCGTTTGATAGAGTGCTACATCAAAAGTTATTACAGAAAATAAAAGCTCATGCTGTGGGGATAATTGCATGGATTGAAGGTTGGCTGGCTGTCAGAAAACAGAATATGCATAAATAGGTCTTTGTCTGATTGGCAGAATGGGGTTGTTGAAGCTCTACAGGGATCTGTGCTGGGTCTCATCATTTTACAAATTACATCAGTGACTTAGATGAAAGGAACAAAGACATGGTAGCTAAATTTGCAGACTACAAAAAGACAAATAGGAAAGTATGTTGTGAGGAAGACGTAAGGAAGTTGCTGATGGGCAAAGATAGATTGATTGATTGAGTGGGCAGAAATCTAGCAGGCAGAGTATAATGTGGGAAAATGTGAAGTTGTTCACATTGGCAGGCAGGTTGAAAAAGCAAAGTATTACTTGAACAGAACATAACAAGTTAGTATTCAGGTACAGCATGTAATCAAGAAGGTTAATGAAATGCTATCTTTTCAAAGTAAGGTTATGTTCAATTTTCAGGGCTTTGATGAAACCACGCCTCTAATGCTGTGTGTAGGTTTGGACTCTGCTTTTAAAGTAGGATCTATATGCTTTGGAAGCAGTGCAGAAGAAGTTTACTGGTTGATACCCAGACGGAGTTGGTTGTCTTATGAGGGGAGGTTGGAGAAGCTGGGCTTGTTGGGAAGAAGTTACAAATTCTGAATGGTTTTGACAAGATAGACATGGAAAGGATATTTTATCTTGTGTTTCAGTCCAAAATTAGGCACACGGTTATAAAAATTGGGAGTATCCCTTTTAAGGACAGGGTGAGAATCTTTATAACCTAAGGGTTATGTGATTTTTGGAACTCCTTGACCCAGAAGGCAGTGAAAGTTGGGTCACCAAGTATTTTTAAGACAGAGGTGAATAGATTGTGGTTAGGTGGGAAATTAAGGGTTACTGGGATAGATGGCAATATGAAATCTGGAACGGTGATCTGATGGAGTGGCAGAGCAGGCTCCTATTTCATATGGTCATGTCAATTTTAACACTGATGAAAGATATTTACAAGGAATGGGGTGTATCACACAATGTCAGCTACATCTTCACCTGCATTTCAATGTCAAGCAAATCTGTTTCGCTATCTGTGGAGATTGCTTCATTTGCCACTGAGTGTAGAATGTATTGATTTAACTAAGTGTCCTTTGTTCCATCTATTCCTTTCATATTGTATTTCATATTTTTCTAAGTGAGGGGATGGAAACAATAGCTAGTTTCTGACCTCCAAACCCCATTGTTCCATTTGTGTTTTAATCCACATTCTGAGCTGACAAGCTGCACCAAGTGGGACTTTCTTATGTCTACTGCATTAGCAAATCTAGGGCATCACTAGCTTAGTTCTGTCGTATGTTTTCACCAATAGCAAATGTGAGTAATTATTGTAGTTTTCTCTTCCTCTGCTTCATCGTTCCGGACCAAAAATATACTCCAGAAATAACCCACAAGTGGTTAAATCAGTTGAGGGGGATTGAAATTTTAATCTGTTGTATTTTGATTGTGTTATATTTTCGAAGTTATCATTTACAATAATTTGCAACGGCACTTGATCTCTTTAATTTTATATTTACTGGTATCATTGCCTCTAAAGTCTTTTTAAACTTTGGGAACTTTGAATTAAAGCCAGAAGTTCTGATTTTTCTGATAGATGTTTGTGTACTTACTGTTTTCCATTAATCCCAATCCTGCATCCACTGTTAACAGGTTCATATAAAAGAAAAGGTGAATGAAAACTAAATGTGTTTCTTTTGTTGCCACAGGGAAAGTCTCCTATGATGTTATTATGTTTGATGTTGATAGCAAAGACACCACTCTGGGAATGAGCTGTCCTCCTCTAGCATTTGTAGAGGATGCATTTCTACAGAAAGTACGAAACCTTCTAGCACACCAAGGTGATTGACCTATACCTTCAAAGAACTTTGATTGAAGCACAGGTTTACAGTATTTGTGTGACAAGTATACCTTATATATTTGTGGCGGGAACACCATGGCAATTGTGATAATTTTGCTCCAACAATAATACAAGGACACAGGCTAATGATCTGTATGAGTTCAAATCCCATTACAACAGCTGACAGAATTTAAATTCAATTCATAAATCTGGAGTACAAAGGTAATAGTGACCAACACAACTATCATTGTTGTAAAAACACATCTAGTTCAATAATGTCCTTTAGGGATGAAATCCACCATCCTTTGCTAGTCTGGTCTATCTGTGATGCCAGAGCCAAAGCAATGTTATTGGCTGTTAACTGCCCCCTGAAATAGGCAAGAAAACCATTCAAGCTCAAGAGCAATTGGCCTTGCCATTGATGTCCACTTCCCATTAAAGTATTTAAGCAGCATGCCAGAAAACAAGTAATGCAGTGCCCACTAAAACTTAATCCCAGCAGTTTTCCTATATTGATTTATTCATGAAACTCCTGTACTAGTGCGAAGTTTTGTTGCTTTGTTTTTGAGGAGCAGGGCAATTTTCTGCTGTTTCCATTATTTTGCTTATTAGGATGGAATTTAGAATAATATGGGGAGATCTCATAAGAATGTATAAAATCCTGATGGGACAGGACAGGTTAGATGTGGGAAGAACGTTTCCAATGTTGGGGAAATCCAGAACAAGAGGTGACAGTCTAAGAATAAGGGGTAAGCCATTCAGGACTGAGATGAGGAAGAATTTCTTCACTGAGTTGTGAACCTGTCAAATTTTCTCCCACAAGAAACTTGGGGCCATTTCAATTGATACATTCAAGATGAAGCTAGACGTTGCCCATGCGGATAAAGGGATCAAGGGATATGAGGAGAGGGTGGGAATGGAATACTAATATTACATGATCAGCCATGATTGTATTGAGTGGTAATGCAGACTCTAAGAGCCAAATGACTTACTGCATGTATTTTCTATGTTTCTATGTCCTCTCAGAACATCCAACACACCTGCTCAGGTTTTTACATAGCAAGTCAAAAATGTTGTGTTTGTTTGAACCAACTTTGTCTCAGTAGGAGCGCACTAATCTCTGAATAAACAGATGGTGTGTTCAAGTCCTGTTCCAGGATGTGATTGACACTTGAGTACAACTGAAGGAGGTCTACATTGACTGAAGTGTGGATTTTCACATGACGCTTAGCTTTCAAATAAGACACTTAAATGTACAAAATCCCTTGGTACTAAACAAAGAAAAGCAAGTGTGTTCTGGCTAACAATTGCCACACTAAACAGTATGCATTAAACATTATCTGCCTGTTTATTTAATTGCCGTTTTTAACATCTTGCACACAGAGCAGCAATGACTGTGTGTATCTCAAAACCACTTTGATGCCGCAGTCTCTATTGGCTTGTCCCAAATCCAATCTTCCAACCTCTTTCTCACCTATATGGTGCCCCATAATAGCATTATCTGCAGGCATGGGGTCAGGCACCACCACCCGCACGCCCCCGCCCCCACCTTTCTCATCCCCCCCCCACCTACAACCTCTACATTATTTCAGTGTTCAGTGTTTGTTTGTCCAATGGCCAAATCTGCATGAGTTGCAGTTTCTCTTAAAGAAACAATGGCCAACCTTTGATTCCTGCTACAATATCTTGCCACTATTTTGTATCCTGACACTGGCTTCCAATCACCCAGAGGGTCATATTTAAAATTCTCCTCAGTTTGGTTTAAATCCCTGCCCAATCTCTAACCATCTCCAGTTCTGTGCCTCAATGACTGCTCACCCCCTTCATCCCTCACCAAACCCTCCAATGTTTTGAATATCTGGCCTCTTGTAGATCACCAACCATTGGAAATGATGCCTTCACACACATGGACCTTACACTCTAGCATTCCATCCTTAAATTTCTCTGCCTCTTCACACCCCCTGTCCTGATTCAAGAACTTATCAAAACTCACTCTTTTGTCTAAGTGGGTTCTGCTTTCCACAAGGTAATTTGAGGAGACAGGAAGAAACTGTATTTTATGTGTTTAGGTAAGGAATTTGTAGCCCACTGTAAGGATCAGCTTGGGAGCTTTTTCAAAACGAACCTTAGAGTCATACAGCACGGAACTAGACCTTTCGGTCCAACTTGTCCATGCTGACCAATTTTCTGAAACTAGACTAGTCCCACTTGCCTGCATTTGGCTCATCCCTCTACGCCTTTGCTATTAATGTACCTGTACAAATGTCTTTTAAATGTTGTAACTGTACCTGCATTTACCACTATTATCATGAAAAGAGTTCAGATATATTTTAAAATCTGTAGCAGAGTCTGCAGGTGAATGATGTGGAGTCAAAGTTCCTTAAGCCACAAACATTCAATGTAGACACTTCTGCCCTGTATCACAAAGTTATCCATGAGCTCCTATGTACCACAAACATGACAGATTAAAGTGATCTGAAAAGGAAGCAAGGCTGAAGTGAGGAAAAACATTCTGCATTCAGCCAATGCTTCTTACATTATTTCCATGAAAGTATGTGCTGTATCAAAATTGGAATAGTGTCTTCTCAATATGAATGTTAATTTATCACCATAACTGATTTGAGAACAAGAGATATAACTTGCATAGAATGCATATTTAATATTTAACGGGCCTTCATTCTCAATGTTGCAGGACTCTTCATTCTGAATCTTGTCTGCAGGGACCATGTTCTGAAAGAGAAGGTAATGGCAGTGATCAAAGGCGTATTTCCTCTTGTTTATCTCCAGAAAATTGAGGGTGAGGTAAATGAAATTTTGTACTGCCAGTTGTCCGTGGAACATAAGGTCGGATCAAAAGACCTTCTTGAGGCAGGTCAGATGCTGGAAAATACTTTGAAGAAACCTGGCAGACATTGGGATCCATCATATAATCTTGCAGAAATGTTGAAGACAGTTAAAATTGTGTGAAGATTCCTATACTCCTGGACTAGTTACTTGTATGATATTTCTGTTTATTATTTGCAGTGACTGTTGCCATTCAATAAGAATATTATGTATCTCTGAAATGTTCATGATGTACTCAACAATACAAAATGGTGTGCCTTACCATATTATTTCAGGAAGAGAAAGGTTATCAGGATATTTTGAACCAAGATAGTTGAAAAATTGTTTTTAAAGTCAGCAATTAAGAAAAAAAGGTTTTCTTTCAGAATTTCTTTTGTATAGTACATTAAGCAATTAGTTTCTTTAAAAAAAAAAGCCTATCTATCTAATACAGGGGCTTTTCAAATGGTACCATGTACCCACTGAGCCATTCAGGTCATGAAGTCCACATTCAATGCTCAATTATACAGTCATGGAATTGTACAGAAGGAAAACAGACGTTTCAGTCAAACTTGTCCGGGCTGACCGGTATCCTAAATTAATCTCGTCCCATTTGCCAGCATTTGGCCCATATCCCTTTAAACTCTTCCTATTCATGTACTCATCCAAATGCCTTTTACATTTTGTATTTGTACCAGCCTCCACCACTTCCTCTGGCAGCTTGTTCCATACGTGCACCACCCTCTGCATGAAAGAATTGCCCCTTAGGTCCCTTTTTAAATCTTTCCCCTCTCACCTTAAAACCGTGCCCTCTAGTTTGGACTCCCCTGCCCTGGGAAAAAGCTTGTCTATTCACCCTATCCATGCCCCTCAATATTTTATAAACCTCTGTAAGGTCACCCCTCAGCCTCTCACACTGAAAGGAAAATAGCCCCAGTCTATTCAGCCGCTCCCTATAGCTCAAAGTCTCCAAACCTGGCACCATCCTTGTAAATCTTTCCTGCATCCTTTCAAGTTTAACAGCATCCCATAGCAGTGAGACCAGAACTGAACTCGGTATTCAAAAAGCAGCTCAATCACTTTCCTGTCCAGCTGCAACATGACCTCCTAACTCCGATATTCAATGCACTATACTCAATAAAGACAAACCTTCCAAATGCCTTCTGTACTATCCTGTCTCCCTGGGACTTCACTTTCAAGGAGTTATTAACCTGCACTCCCCAGGACCTGACCATTAACTGTACGAGTTCTGCATTGATTTGCCTTACCAAAATGCAACACCTCACATATACCTATGTATTTAAACTCCAACTGCCATTTCACTGCCCGTTGGCCCAAAATTATCTGATCTTTGTTCTATGGATGGCTAGTACAGTACAAATGTCTCCAAGTGGCTATCATAAAATAAATCCTGTTTTACGACCTATCTGTGTACTATAAATGTTTTTGTATATTTAAAATACTAAGTGAAATTAGTACAATTTACTAATTTATCAACTTTTTTCAACCTTTTATTTACGAGTATTATGGTTTATGTGACAAATTTTATGTATTTCTGATACACCCCAGCACAGTGTGATGATGGGGCTCTGGTTATTTTCCCAACCCATTGTAATTCACAAAGCTTGGTAAATGTGTAATTTGCTTTTGTTTTAACTGTAAGTTAGTTTCAATAGTCTCTCTAGGATTTTCAGTTAATTTATTATCTTTAGTAATATGACATGTTTAAATTTTTCCAGTTGTACCACAAGTGACAACTTTTTGTTTTAGGAGGAACTGATTTTAATTTATTTTGTTCCCTCTACTTGTGACAGTGAAAGTATGCAATTTGTGCAGAAGCCTATTATTTTCTTGTGTAACAGTGTGTAAGCATTCTGATACTAATGAGAAGATTGTTTAAAATTGTGAGTTTTTGTTAATATAATGAAATCTTTCCTGTGATAGGTTGACTAAGCTTTGAGTGAATCTTTTGAGATGCACAGGAAGTGGCTGAGGGTGACTGCATCCACCTATGGATCAATATGTATGCCTCTGTATAAGATTTTTATTTCCACAATAATGTACCTTACTGGTGCACTCTCTTGTTAAATTAGTTGGCTATAATAATGTTTGGTTTTGCCACCCATCTGAAAAGCTGATTAATTGACTGTCTTACTATACTGTTAATCAATCAATGCTGGGGACAAATCATTAAATCACTAAAATTAATTACATTAATGGTTCTCGTAGGTCACCTGTAATACAAGTTAGCTTCAATCCCTTCTTGGAAAGAACAAAATAAAAGTTTTCCGTTCGTTTTTAGTAATGGAAGAAAATAGTTATTGTCATTACCCTGTTACATGAAATCTAATCACTTGTTTAGGTGTAGTACCACAATCCCTGTAGAGAGCAATGATTTTTTTTTTAGAAAAGAGATGTGAATTTCTCAGTGACCAATGCAAAGAATTACATCTCAATATTCCAAGCAGCAAGCAAACTAGCTTCAACATTGACTAAATGTTAGTTATTAGGCAACTAATGTACTCAGTTAGGGAGAAGGCATTCGTCATTGATTTCTTAACACAACAAAAACGCCACATTCCATTGCTGCGAGTAATGGAGCAGAAAGGTATTCTTCTCTGTAAAGTCCTAGGTTTCTTCCAACTTCAACACCATCTCTTTCAGTAGCCCTTTCTTTAAAAAAAATCCAATTATTCAGTCTTCTGAGCCTCATTGATTTGACTTTCAGGTGTAAGTACTCTCTGGCGAGTCTATGGTACGAAAATACATAAAAACCTCATCTCGCTAAACAGGGAGTTTGTGTGTGTGTGCGCGCACGCACCCAGCATTATGCTTAGTGGTTAAAGCAAAAAATGGTCCTTTTTGTCAGCTTGGTATGACAGCAGCTGTTTCTCTCAGGCTGAGGAATCCTGGGTTGTGCTCTCTAGGTGGGTGTGCAGAATCAGGGAAGAAGGGTGGGTGGAAAGTTAATCCCGATGATGGAAGCTGCCAAGTCCCAATATGTGACAGTTAATAGATCCTGTTGTGTTGTTAAATATTAGACTCTCTCTAACACCCATTCACCCACTTGCTCTACATGCACATACATACCAACCCATTCTCACCTACCACCAATAACTCCTCATAACCCCCATTCCTACCTATCATTCTCCTAACTGCCTCTTACAGCCCCTAACCCAGTTTAATATCTCATGATGTGCCCCAAAATGCTTTATGTTTGATTTTTAAATTGCTTACCCTTCCAATTCTCCAATACAAGATCAGTTTTGAGATGTCAAAACAAAAAGGTACTGTCGTTTGAAATGCACCTGGATTCCCTTCTGTCACAGCACCCAGATGCTGTTGAGTGGGGAATGCAAAACGCAACTTGCGTGAATGGAGCACACTACGGGCAATTAGTGGTCAGGAGTGTTTTCAACAAACGAGAGCGAGCTAATGCATGTTAGAAGAGATAGTTCTTCTGAGTCCGTGCAGCACGTCATTTCCAGGCCAGAATAACCACTATGGCAGAATTCCTGATGTGAAAACGTTGTACGAGAATTACCCATTCGATTGATTTTTGGCTTTGAAAACCTACAGATGTTCTTTTTGTTATTTTAAAGGTATTCCTCTTGTCTTTCATGGGATGTTACCCATCACGAATTGTCCCTTGAACCAAGTGACTTGATAGACAATTTAAGGCTCGAACATATTGCTTACACTGACCAAACCAGAAAAGGATAGCAGATCCCCTTCCCTATCGGGCATTAGTGAACCAGATGGTTCTTTTTAAAAAAAGGAGACAGATGTTGCAGAAGATGGTCAATTAACTGGAATAGGAAGGGAGTTTCTGTGGGGTGGATGTGTTCGTTAGAACCCACAAATTGAAGGTGTACCTGTCCTATTATAGATATTTTGAATTCACTTGCTCAGGTGTGTTGTGACACAGCTCTGGAGGACGTGGGGTTTTAAACTCAGGTTTTGTGGCAGAGGGGTAGGGACACGCCGACTGTGCCATAAGAGCCCCTCTACCAGTAGGGTCTTTGACATAATGGTTGCCACCACTCTTAAACACTAGCTTTCAATTCCAGATTCACTAACTCGGTTGAAATTTCATCAGTTACTATGGTGGATTAGCCTTAGTCTGGGGTCCTAAATTGTTTCTGCAGTGATATTACCAGTATGCCACCGTTGTCTTTTAAAGTAAGCAATGATCGGTGATGCTTTATTTCTCCTGTAGCAGGGAGAGTATCGGAAAATTTCAGTAAGAAATATATACTTCAGAGTACTATAATTAGGACACATCAACTCATTGGAGGCCTTTTAGGGGCTTGTAAACATGTGTGATTTCTGAGTCATCTCTGCTTTTACATAAGCATTGGATATGATTGCAAATTAGTACAACACATGGTAACTTTCAAAACTGAAAATCACCAGTATATATGCAGTTAACTTCATAGCAGGCAATGCATTTGATACAGTCGTGACACCAAAATACCATACACGCGAAACACCAGTGATTTTCTTGCGGCTGGAACACAAGCTAAGCTGGAACGTCTTGCAAATGAGACAAGACGAAAATCAAAACCCCAACACTCGTAATGAGACCAGTGTCCTTTAAATGTAATCAGAGATAGTAGGAACTGCAGATGCTGGAGAATCTAACCGTAACCCTTTAAATGTAACTTTTCGTGCACGACATAGACAAAAGATTCGGAGGTAAAAGTCTGCTGACGCTGCAATTGTAGGCAAACATTAGATTCTTTTTATTTAAAATCAATCTTTATAAGTTTTTTTTGTGAAGTGGGTCGGGCGATGCATTCATTTTGCAACAGGTTTGATCATCCCAGTAGCGATGGCTTCGCCCCTCTCATTCGGACGTTGGAATTTTATGGAGGATTAAATGCCAGATAATTGAAATATGTCCTCACTGACGCATTGTCCAAACTAAATGTTCAGAACACACGAAATTGTTGACTTCTAAGATAGATGGAAACGCAACAACTGCAGCTTTATTAAGAAACAGCCAGTTGTTAAGGTATTGTGGTGAGACATTGTTCAAAATAAGAATTGTTCACAGATGTCAAAATAACGTGGGTTTCAGTGCGTAGAATAAGTTAGGTTGTGAAAAGTAATTTGGGACTACAGTGTGCGGAATAAATTAGATTGTGTCAAGTAACTTGGTTACCCACGAGTTAAATTCGATTGTGAAAATAACGCGGTGTCACAGCGTGCGGAATAGATTGGATTGTGCAAATTATCTGTGTTTTGTAGTGTGCACAGAGATTGTTGGAGGTGTGCTGCGCGTTCCCGGGCTCTCAGCCCCACTCCCGAAATCCGCACTCGAGCGCCATGCCCAGCTCACGGGCTGTGCCCTATTCCCGGGCTGTATGCCCTTTTCACGGGCTCAGTGCCCTATACCCGGACTGTGTGCCCTATTCCCGGGCCGTGTGCCCTATTCCCGGGCCGTGTGCCCTAT